TCAGTGAAACTTATAAATTGCTTCTGCAATGGAACTCGAACTCAATTTGATTTAGTTTTATCATTCATATTGCTACTATTTCGCGTGTCAGTGATGCTCACATGACTACAATACAAATAGATATGCATGTACATTTCAGTGATTTCAAACATCACAGGTTAAGCGTTTACTAGGACTTTGAATTTATAAAATGTTGTCCTTCTAGAAAGGAAATCAGTGATTCATAATCTCATACAGCTGTCTCGTCTGACTAGGAATCGTCAGTGATGCTACATCATACAGCTGTCTCGTCTGACTAGGACTCGTCAGTGATGCTACATCATACAGCTGTCTCGTCTGACTAGGACTCGTCAGTGATGCTACATCATACAGCTGTCTCGTCCTTCTAGGACTCGTCAGTGATGCTACATCATACAGCTGTCTCGTCTGACTAGGACTCGTCAGTGATGCTACATCATACAGCTGTCTCGTCTGACAGTGATGCTACATCATACAGCTGTCTCGTCTGACTAGGACTTGTCAGTGATACCGAGGGCCTACAATTTGAAGTCTATGAGGCGACTGAAGAAAATGCAAAGTGATCGAAAGAACAGTCAAACTCTAGATGGGGAGATGCAGTAGTCCCATATTTCAAAAGGATTTTTATATTTCAAACAATTTTAGAACAGCGCCAAGTACAGGTGTTTATTCTGAACCAGGCCACGATTCGAACGAAGTAAAACGTGGCACGCAGGTTACGGCAAACCTCGAGGACTTACAGTCACGCATGCATTGCAAATTCCCGAAACTTATAAATTGCTTCTGCAATGGAACTCGAACTCAATTTGATTTAGTTTTATCATTCATATTGCTACTATTTCGCGTGTTTAGATTACTCTCACATGACTACAATACAAATAGATATGCATGTACATTTCGATTTCAAACATCATTGGTTAAGCGTTTACAATACTTTGAATTTATAAAATGTTGTTGACTTCTAGAAAGAGAAATCAGCTGTTTTCATAATCTCTATATAGTCTAGAGTTCGGTCATCATCTTAAGATCTCTCTAGAGGGTTTCCGAATGCGTCAACAATGTCTCCGAGGAGGATTCCGAAACCATTGTCCAAAGCTTTGTTTGTCTCTGTCTCTAAGCTTCTAAATGTAAAAGACCTTCATTTTTATCTAGTTTTTCTACGTCGTGTATTTTGTATACGAGTGCAGTCGACCTCTTGCTGTCGACTTTGAGTTATCGTCTAGGCACGTACCGTTTGATAAGTATCACTATAGAGACCCATGGTGCCCTTCGTGGTATTCAGCTGTAGTGCTTTACGTGAGAAGCCATTGTCTACAATATGGACTTGATGTGGCTTCTTTTTATCATGCTCATATTGGCACGAATATTATCTTACTAGATTCATCCTGTAAATATAATGCATAATTGAAGAAAAAATGCATTGTAAATAGCGGGCTAGGCTTTTGACTTGAAGTTCATATGGAGTGTATTATACCAACCGCTATTATGAACGTTTGCAGCAAACCTCACACGACATACATACACTCTTAATCTTTCTAATCAAAATTGAATCAATATTTATCAATGATGGCAAAATTTCATTAGCAAACCATTTTTCATGCTGATAGTTTCTCGCTTTTTCCTCTAATGTAATTTCTGGTACATCTCTAGACACAAAAAATCTGTGTTGTACCTTCGTGTGTCTGATTTATATCTGCTCGTTTAATACACTGGTTCTGTATTAAAGACGACTAAAGTAGTCCGGTTTTCGAGTTTTTCAGAAATGTTAGTATACATAGTTTTCGTATTGTACAGGGTAAATGTTGATACACGTTTGTTTGTGTTGTACAGAGTAAATGTTGATACACATTTGTTTGTGTTGTACAGAGTAAATGTTGATACACATTTGTTTGTGTTGTACAGGACGAATGTTGATACACATTTGTTTGCGTTGTACAGGGTAAATGTTGATACACATTTGTTTGTGTTGTACAGGACGAATGTTGATACACATTTGTTTGTGTTGTACAGGACGAATGTTGATACACATTTGTTTGTGTTGTACAGGACGAATGTTGATACACATTTGTTTGTGTTGTACAGGACGAATGTTGATACACATTTGTTTGTGTTGTACAGGACGAATGTTGATACACATTTGTTTGTGTTTTGCAGGACGAATGTTGATACACATTTGTTTGTTTTGTACAGGACGAATGTTGATACACATCTTTAGTTAATATTTACTGAGAGTACGATCTGAGTGTACGTTATGTAAATTTATCTGAATCGAAATCACAGATCAACTTAAACCGTCTGAAACGTCACGGTGAATTACGAAGAGCTTTATTGACTAACACTAAGACTTCCTTGGTGAACCCCAAGTAGGAAAAAATGTATAGATCTAGAACGACACGGCGGTAAAACTTTTCCTTTTTACATACCTACATTTCCTAATCCTAAAAAAGATATTTAGTGTTTTATGAAGTATCATGTGTGAAATGTGATATTTAAGACTGAAATTTACCTACATTCAATAAACAAAAACATGAATAACTTAACATTATTGATGGACCTCTTACAATTTATTTTATTTTCCCTTTGATTCTACTGACAGTTTGTTTATCAGTTGTTTATGTATTTTATTGTTTATATTGGAATGCTTTACGTGGATATTGCGAATAGTTCAGTATCTTTGTAGTCACACATATGTATCCATACTCTCTCGATTTACAATGTCTTGGCAAGATAATAAGACTACCAGCAGTATTGAATTAGAAATATATTGTTCATGCAAAACCCCTGATGGTGCCTCTGAATTATGCGATACTGCGGTACCGGTAATTCTAACAGTATTTTGGCACTATTCGTGTCGCACTGTGCGTGTTCTGCTCAAGATTTACATTTTCGATAATATTCAGTCGTTCACGTAAAGCTACCAACTAGAAACACTTATTGATTGGCGGTTGACTCATACATCCCCTCAACATGAAGCACAGCCCAATTCGTTCAGCATTCAGCTAGACCTTCGGCATATAATAAAGTTTGCATTGATCTAACTACGTACCAACACGCATCGTGTGAATACGCATCGGGAACGATATACTCAAAACAAACATCAAAGTAACACTGATCACGGAGTCAATGCGACAAAGTCATCGAAACTCTTTAAAGAAATCCTGAGTGCCATGCTTGATCATTAATATTGTTACCTCTTGTAAATCGATTGAAATAGTGACCAGCGATTGGTCAGGAAGTCTGTGACGCAAATTATTCCCTAATGACAGCTAAACCTGAAATAACGCAAATTTGTTACAATCTGTCAGTCCAATGGAATCCATGCCTGTGAACAAAAACGCTGATAATGGGTTTGTTTCAGGGGTTTTTGAGCCGATTGTGAATGTATCAGTTCTAACTAAATTATCTAAATAGACTTTCTGTATTTTACGAACACGATCTATATATAGGTTCATCAAGTCCATAATTGTTCTTATATTTTCGCTTTATTAAGGTAGAGATAGTGTTTTGTTTCTGAAAGGGGGATTCAGTGTTTCTACTGATTCGTTAATGAACTTTGCAACTTCATGATAAAGACTTCTACTCTCATTGAAGTAGATATAGAGAGGAATGTGCAGGTAATCAGGTGAATGGGTGGGTGGGGGAAAGTAGGTGCTAGCTCAATGGTAGAGTAACTGGGCTAATGAAAAGGTAAAGATTTCAGGTGTAGGGTTCGATCCCAACCCGGGCGGTTTTTATTTCTTTGGAAGCAGCTATAATCATTGATCACCGTAAACTGTGATGAATATTTTCTTATTCGTTCTGAATATCTTGCGATATGCATCCGCATTATATTCAGGGATTTAGTCAACAGCTACAACAACGAGACATTACCGCAAGATGGCGATAAACACAATGAACAGAGATAATTTTGTGTTTTATATACAAAAAGTATATGAAAACGAAAATTTGACAATTGCGAACGCATCGATGCCATTTGCAATGAAAATAGGTTTTTCTCTTCCTTTTGGAACCTGATCTTTCAGAAGTAGAACGGCCGTCAGAGAAAACACTCCAAACTCACAAGTGCCTACAACGTCTGTCATAAACATTTTCTACTTTGATATGACTTCCTTGTCACATTGTTGGCGACATATGCACCATTTCAACTAAAGTAATTACCACTTACTTTATGTAGTCACTTACAGCAGATATGTCTAAGGAATGTTAAGAATTCTGACGATATCGACAGAGAAATGTTCAGCCCTCCCACATAGCCTGTTCCTGCTTTCCCGTTATTTCAATCCGCTATCAGAGAAGGTAACATACACAGCTAATTAATTAGGGATTCCTCATCATACGGTTTGAGTACCTTACATACACTGTGATGAGAAGTACGAAGATCATGTTAAGTTTTATAGCATATCAATTAATTACATCGGTTCTTTCGAGTCCATCATAGAGTGGGGCTCCCAATGAGGGGACTTACTGTATGGATTACAAATGTAATTCAATTAGAACTGGTCATCTCGAACTCGGCAGGACCATTGGAAAAATTCGAGATAGCCGAGTATTGGATTTAAGTGAGTTGGAATGTTTTGTGTAAGTTAGGCAGGGACCGACGAACTACTTCCAATAAACGGGAGTGATACTTTTCTCCTCACGTGACTAAATCGTCTTAAAGGTACATTATTAGCCACGCATGCTTAATAATTATATATTGAAGATGCATGCGATACTCCCCTGGATTCTTAATTGTTCGAATTAAAGAGACAAATTTCTTCTACTGACTAAAGTTACAATAAGTAAATATAGTTAAAAGGAAACAAGAGGTTGTCAATGTGTGTCTTTGCGGTCGGATTTCATAAAAAAACGAAGTCTCTGTAATCTTTCTAGTAAACGCTAGATACAAATTCTGATTTTTATTCTTTTCTGTCTTTTCAGGAGAATCATCATTAAATGTATAAGCTATACACAGCCGCAGACACATCGTGTATAACGTCAAGATGGAGGAAGAGGAAAATGAGGTCAGCATATTTCAGCTTTTCACCAGGGAGTCTATGTTCGCAATTGAACAAAGAATTGCCGAGGAAAAGGCACATCGGAAAGCTGAACGGGAGGCGGCCGAGGAAGGTGAGGAAGAAGAGCCTCAACGAGAGGAGGACGAACTAAAACCGGACGAACAACTGGAAATCGGAAAGAAGCTCCCAACCTACATGCAAAATAACTTCCCTCGTGAACTAATGGGCAAGCCCATAGAAGACTTTGATGATTACTATGCCAACAAATTGGTAGGTATATGTAGATATAGATTTGCATATAAAGTTTGATTGATAAGCTTTGTTAGTAAGGTATGTTTTATTTACAAATTTTAAGAACACATGCTTGTGTTTTGTTTGTTTTCAGAATACATACAATCGTAATATAAAATACCAAAAATCTATCACCAGGCATCTATTTGACGTTCATAAAATTGCGAAAATAAAGTTTCTCTCCCCACATATAAATAGAATTCAGTTAAAAATAAGTATCAAATTTCGCTTGGAATTTTTTAAAAAAAATCATCATTCAGAGGAGAATATAAAATGTATTAAATGACCAAAGCGGTGAATAATTTTTTGTAAAAAAAAACCCTTTTATTGGAAATATATACCACGGATGTTAAAGATAAAAGCGTTCTATACAAACCGTTAGAATAGATGAGTTTGAATGTTTATCAAGTATATGCTAGAGCCTTTGTAATATTTATGACATTGGGCATGTAGAATGATGCATTAGATGTCCCGATCGATATTAACGCGATAGTTTGTACTTCAACCTACCAGTCTACACCAAACCAGCTACCGGGGATGTAGTTAATTCTGCTTAAGTGTCTGATGCAAACACTGCGTTGGACAACTCATTTTTATTTGGCTGTGTATGTTTCGTCTAAATGTCGCATCATTCAGGAAAGGACCGCGGTTTTCAGGCCACACATTGTAGTTTGAGTCAGGTTATACTTTCACTACATTTACAACTTTCAAAGTAAAAAGAACTTGTCTTTGATTCAAATCCTTTAAAACACTGTGTACGCTTATCAAATCTGATGGAAAAATGGAACCTTATCTTCATCAAGCTCTTTTAATAGAATAACTGAGTACTGTGTGATGATATCAAGCAAGCTCTGAATTTCGTCACAGTCTTAAATGCTTCGTTTTGTTGTAAAGTCAGCGATTTAGGGTTATAATCAGTGTAGAGTCGAAACTAGAACAAATGTATAATTCAAAATAGGGACTTACATAGTAAGATAAGGTAGTCAATGAAGGGTTTGGTTTGCATTTCACCGACAAAGTCAAAGGTCACAGATTGGGAATTAGATATATCTTTATAGAGTTAAAGTACAAAATATTCAATGTGAAGTGTATGCATTATAGAGACAAAGTATTCAATGTATGTTGTCTGCATTATAGAGTAAATTGTGTTGGAGAAGATTGTCTAGATTTAGAGACAAAGTATTCAATGTATGTTGTCTGCATTATAGAGTAAATTGTGTTGGAGAAGATTGTCTAGATTTAGAGACAAAGTATTCAATGTATGTTGTCTGCATTATAGAGTAAATTGTGTTGGAGAAGATTGTCTAGATTTAGAGACAAAGTATTCAATGTATGTTGTCTGTATTATAGAGTAAATTGTGTTGGAGAAGATTGTCTAGATTTAGAGACAAAGTATTCAATGTATGTTGTCTGTATTATAGAGTAAATTGTGTTGGAGAAGATTGTCTAGATTTAGAGACAAAGTATTCGATTTAAGATTTGGATTTGTAGATAAAACTTCCGATATAGGATCTGACAATTGATTCGATGTAGAGAGGCCATGAGGGGACAGGGCATGCTCTATCAAATCTAGTGATCAAGTGTCAGAATGCTTGATTTTTTTTATCCTAGCATTATCCTTTATACGATATGAACTGTATTCACAATTTTTTTCCGCATCAGAAAATAAAGATCATAACAAATTCGCTAACACAGGCTAACGTCATGATATAGATAGCAACACTACCCCAGATACCGTACGGTAGTGACTAGGTGTTAGAGAAGCTGTACATGTTTAAAATTGATGAGCATATATAATTGTATTTAGCAATACTTTATAGGTTTTAAGCTGGAATTGAGGATCGAAAATAAAATGTTACAGATTAATTTTCTATAAATGGTGTTTAATTAGAGTAATTAAGTAACCTTGCAGTGTCAGGCTATCCTCTGCAATGTCTCACGAGATGTCGGAATCCGCTTGTGTAAATGATGGTTTAGAAATAATTATCTATCAGCATCACACAGTATTTTACTTTTGTTTAATATTTGCTACATTATGATCAAGGCAGTGTAATCACATTTCTTGGAGAGGTAATTAAAGTTTAACCCAATTTTGTGTGTTTTTGTGTGTGTGTTGATGATGAAGAATGACACTTGAAACAAAATTAAAATTCCTTTTTGGTTGATAAGTGTACTTTCTCCACTCGATGCATTATTACCTTATATCAATACATTATTATATAGGTTATAGTCTTAACAAATAGATAAATAAAACTGCATTATCATCAATTCTATCAATCAGTTATATATCATATACACTTTGTACAATGATTGGATCACTTAAATCACTATAGAAGACAAAAGGATTATAAGTAAATGGTTATCAAATCAGATATGTTTTTAAAAAATATAGATTTCAACATTGGTTAGAGTCTGAAAATTATCGATCACTAAAAGATAAAAATTTTAATAAGTCGATGAATAAAAAAAGCACTGTTTAAAAATAAGTGCAAACTTTACCTACTCAGTTTATAAGTCAAGAATATTTTGATGGATTTCAATTTTTATCATTGACATAATAACCCACGACTTCAATAAAATGTCTGCTATGTTAATCTTCACAAGTAATATTTATATTTATGCATAATATTAGTGTTTTTTAACGAGCGATAAAGTTTAGTATATGAAGGTTAGAAATCTGAATGGATAAGATGGCGTGGCAAGTATAAAAATAGAAATTATTATATCACAGCCAGTAAAGAAATTGATGTGTGACATTTCGATGACTACATCGTTATCTTGCATATACAATGTATGAACTGGGCATGAGTTGACAGGACTGTCAGCTATAATACTATGTATACTAAGATATACTATAATGATGTGTAACAACATGGCAAGAAGATTCGATCGAAAACAGATTAAATTAGACCTATTCCTTATACAACGCCTGTCATAGAAAATGTTTCACAGTGGTCTGACAAGTTCTTACACCTTAATCTTGATTTTAGTGCATGGGGCATTTATAAACATGAAACAGACTCTGTGAATAAAGATTGTCTACGCAAGTTTGAGATTTATTGCACTTTTATATGCATACTTGACAACTGAGAATATGTTTTAAACTTCTCCCTACCAGTTACTAGGTCAACTGTCGGATATATCAAACCACCCAGTCCATTTTCTCCACCACCAAAGTATCTGATACTCTTGGATTAAAGCAATCATTGTCCTCTCATGACCAGTAAATAGATGCAGCTAGATTTGCATGACACGGTTTTAGTTACATGTAATTGTGTGTGTTATTAACGTCAGTAATGTACAATGAAGAAAATATTTAAAGAACGAAAATTCTAGACGCTATAATGTACGTAATGGTGAAACGAGAAACCGTTGCGTAACGTAAACGACCATGAAGGACAGGACACCTGCGGTTAAGCTGTAATATATGAACCCAGTGTGTTGATATAAATACGTACAACGAGACGTCTTTGAGATATTTATTGTAAAACCATACATTTTTGTAGAGGTCAAATTTCGTGGTTTTTCAATTTTATGTTTGCCGTAGGCAATATCAATACTTAACATTCATGTCAATGTATTTAATATTTTGTTAATTAATAGACATATGGATTCGTTGATTTAGAGCTTCTCCGTGAAAATTAGAAGCAAGACGTTTGGTCTCGATTGCTTCCTGATCCTTACAGAATGCATTGGGGTGTGTCTAGTTTCTTCTTTATGTAAATACCAAAATTCTTCTGTACTTCTTTTTCCAGTTTGAGAAAAAACATTTAAGAATTGTCCTTACTTTTACTTTCAGAATATTTTATTGTCATGGTGGTATTGACAGTAGGAATTGGGCAACAGGCAGAGCCTATGAAAGCCCTCTCCTTACAGTGCATAAACAAGTATACAGACACATCAATCAAAATTAGAGATAACAGATAATAATAATATTAGGAATAAGAATGTAGAAGATAGATTCAAATGGATGATTATATAACCGAAATGCAAAATAGGCATCACCATCGTTTGTATTATTGAGTTCCAGAACAGTAACATAAACTAAAAAATACAAATTAGGTATCACAAGATATTACAAGACTGGGTCAAAATATGTCCATTTGTGGTGGGACAGGCTGCAGGTTCAAACAGTCCGTTTGCACATAATCCTGAGCTGAGTCCCTAAAATGGACAGGCGGACCCACACTTGAGACATCAAATACAAATGAGAGATAGAAAAGATAGAAGTATAGAATGGGATGTACATTTGCTAAAATAGGCGACCAGTGTCAGTTATGAATCTCTGAACTATATCAAGAATAAATTTATTCATGTTTGCATCAAGTATAGGAGAACCTTTGAGAAATGTATCAATTGTAGGAGGTATAGAATCACTAAGGTCAGAAAGGGAATTAAAGAGGAGTTGTCTCTGGTTGTCTCTGGAATTGTCCTTAGAGAGATATGTCATTGTCACGTGTCGTTATTTCTGTTTTCAGAGCTTTGCCGTGGTGGCCAGAGATTGGACAATCTTCCGATTCAGTGCCACCAAGGCACTCTACATCCTAACGCCATTCAACCCTGTCCGGAGAATTTCTATATGCATCTTAACACATCCATATCCTTTCATGTAGACTCTTAATTATAAATAATGCTAATAAAATATCGAATGAAAAAGATGTAATGAGATGACATTATATCTGCATGATAATTTAAAAAGAAGTTTGGAAAATTTTTGGACTTTTTTTTCTAGAAATGTGTGTTTATTGATAGTTATCGGCAAAGATTGTTCATAGTAATAAAAAGCTGATGTAGTGAATTAGTTCTAAATCGGTATAAAGTGTTGGCTGGCCGAACATACTCCTCGCGTGGCATTTAGATGCACATTACAGATATCTAACACGTTCTCTGGCTATATTTGTAAACATCTTTTGTGACGGCTTGAAATTGACGAAACATAGTTTTAACTTACTACATGTAACACCACATAATATTTTCAATGCTAATTTAAAACAACATAATATTCATCAATCCATCCATCCATCCAGAGTCCTTCCAATATAGAAATTTACGAAGATCTTTACTTCCATATGAAATAACAATAGTGTACTGGTGTTAATGCATTTTCTATCTCTATCATTGAGTTGTCAGTATCAGAACCATTAACATTTTAAACCACTACTTAATGTAAGCTAACACCACACTGTCGATCCTATACTCGATAGTTATCAGTGCCAGCATAGTTAGTTTACCACACCAATGTTAGTAACGTAAACAGTATGTAAATGAATCAAACTTCATTCTTTATATTAATTTCTTGATATGGTTCTTGATAATCTTAATGCAGCTTCGTTGATAATTGATTTTGATACATATTTAAAAAGTGTTGTTTTTATCCAATTGTGTTTTCGTATCCCATGAATCTTTATGCAAAGGTTTGACAGCTTCAGCATAGTCAGTAGTTCTCGAAGTTCTCGGGTAAATAAATGAATTAACTTGTTCTAGTATTTGTATAGTCGTTAATTAGTTTTTTATTCTCTCAGGTAGCTTCTGGGATATTTTTCATATGCTGAAATATGAAAAGTTGATGCTCAGAGTTAACCTAACAGAGATCACAAACTGATGTCTACGACCTTCTACAGTCATTATATACGGTTTTGAACAAGGTGTGAAGAACGATAAAAACATGCGATGGCTAGACAGAGCCTTAAAGGACACTCACTCCGCTTCAGTAGCTAATTGAAAACGTTTAAATGAGATTCAGCTGATTCATAAAATATTCAAGATGTAAATGTAAAGCCAAATGTATCATCATTGATTTGAAATTCAGTTTTTACCAAATAAGATGCAAACATTATTTATAAATGATTATCATCATAAAAATAAAAAAGATAAGATAATGTAGATAATCCAGATTTTTTCTCCAGATGTCTGTTAAAACATATCGATATTAGCTGAAAGTGTTTTTTTACAATTTTACAACAAGAGAGCTACTCTAATTCATTCGATAAGGTTGATAAAACGTGTATTAGCAACAAAGTTGGAAACATGACTGATGTGCTCTATCATTGTCAGTATACCTAACAGCTATGGTAGGACTACCCCGGTTTATATTTTTAAGTGCATAACATTTACTTGTCATGACCTGGGTGTTTCTGGTTTCCACAATGTAGCAATAGTCGATTTTGCATCTTGAAATTCTCATATTTTTCTGGTTTTTCCTTTTTATTGTCATCGATCTATAATTAGATTAGGATAACGATTTTGTTTTTTGTTGATAGAATAGTATGTTAATTACTCTCATATATTCCTTAACGATTTCTACTGTTTTCAACCTCTGTGTTATCCTCACCATCATCGTCAACTGTGTATTCATGGCAATGTCCGGCAGTTTCCCCACCATGGAGTAAGTATATTACCTTATATATATATACCCTGTATATCATTTTGTGCTGGATTTTCCCTACATTGTCCGGCAGTTTCCCCACCATGGAGTAAGTATATTACCTTATATATATATACCTTGTATATTATTTTGTGCTGGATTTTTCTTACATTATTAAGATACAGATTTTTACGCGGAAGCAGGAATATGTATTGTACATAGTTTAACAAAATGGTTGTCACACTTTTGTCACTAGATATTAACTTTGATTTGTACAAAATTTAATTCAATTTCATTATGTAAATCTAGCTCTGAAATATTCTTTATTTTCTAATTTACATAAGTAAACATAAGGCATTCTTTTATAATGTTCGGCATATTGCTGTATTGTATAATTGTATGATATGTAAATGTGTTTTCAGGAAAATATTTACTGTCATCTACACCGTCGAGGCGTGCGTCAAGATTCTGTCCCGTGGGTACATATTAGCAGATTTCACGTATCTCAGAGACCCTTGGAATTGGCTAGATTTTTCAGTAATATCTTTGGCGTAAGTATATTTATAATGTGATTAAAATTGTTTTTGCTCTGATATGTTAAAAGTCTTCGATTTGTGAGTGATAGAAACAAAACTACACAGATAAAGTCATCACTCTCCTTCTTTTTAATCCTTTCTGATATTTTCATTAAGCCTCTTGATTGTAAATCTATCTTTCATATCTAGTTATATGTCCGTTTCTTATATGATATTGTGGAAACTAGGTTTCCAAAATAAGATTTGATATTGGTGTTATTCTACTGTTGAGTCCGTTTGTTTATTTACATGTAATAAATTCATGGTTCTGTCACTATAATCCTATGTACACTATATTAAGACCCTATTGTTCCACGGACGAGTCTAGAACGACGATATAACTGTATGATGCAGTTCTATTCAATATCTACATGTACTGCATCTCTATTTACTCGTGTCTTTTAACGAATTTTATAAATTTGTTGACTTTTCGAAAGTATTGTTATTGTCCTGAGCTTGTTTACAGATACATCACAATGTTCGTCAAATTAGGAAACCTCTCAGCACTTAGAACCTTCCGGGTATTACGAGCACTTAAAACCGTAGCTGTAATACCAGGTGAGATTGAATATATAATGCATTTACAGAAGACTAAGCATAGATTTTTTTTAAATATAAAAACAAGGAGTAAAAATAATAATCTTTTTTAGAGATTAAACAAATTTAGTTTTAGAATATTTGATAAACACAACGGGGATCAGGATTTTAAAAATCTGTTTTCCTAGAATTATGTTTCAAGAATATTCAACAAATTGGTCAGATTGTTTAAATCATGTAAATTGATTTCGTTTCAAAAATAAAATCATTTAAGCGAGGGTTAATACATAGATGAGATATGTAAATTTTAAGGATTAATATTTCTATCAAATATATAAATTATGAATTATCAAATATTAAATTTAATTTATTAATTATTAAATAGGATACTCCTTCCAAGCAATAAACGCATATTTATAGATATTATAAAAGTGTATGATTATCTGCTTGTAGGGTTAAAAACTATAGTGGGTGCCTTACTTGAAGCCGTTCGACGGCTGCGTGACGTCATGATTCTGACCGTGTTCATGCTCTCCATCTTTGCCTTGATTGGAATGCAGTTGTACATGGGTGCACTGCGCAGCAAGTGTGTTATAAATACGGATAATGATAACATGACCGATGAAGAATTCTTCAATCACGTTTGGGACAGAGGTATGCGTTTTGACAAACATAAGACCAATTATTCCATTGATCATTCACTGTTTTAATTTAGTATTGTTAACTGTTCTGAATTCATCATATTTTTGACCTCAGAATTTTGCAATATTTTAGATATCAGTCAAAGGAAAATTTCATTATCTTTCAATCAAAAACAAATTAACCTTGTTTCATTTATCCATGTAATGGAATTTAAATTTCCAGTCTCGATTGTAATCCACAAATTAGATTTCATAAGCATAAATATACAGTGTATATTCATCATCTTGTTTTTTCTTCTCAAGAATTTCTGAGGCTGTCGTAATATCAGCTACTATTGATATAATGTGAAGTACAGATTAACGACATTAAATAAACCGAACATCACAACAAACAAATTGATTCAAGAAGAAATCATATATGAATGAATCATATTTCTTGTTTTCCTTTTTAGACAACTGGTACCCGCATGATAAGTTTACCGAACCGTATCTATGTGGAAACGCGACGGGAGCAGGGTAGGGTTTTCTTTCAAAATCATATGAAAAGTTGATCATGCTATAACATTTTAGATAAATTTTTAAAGCGATGTTAAATATGAGAAGGCTGTCCATTTTGATGACGTGAATATGGTCGTATTTTAAATGTATCATGAGATGCATTTTCAATTTTTATGTTATATAACTTTTTCTTTATTTATCTCTGTGTCAAAGCATTATTTCAAGCTGATATTGACCTAATTAAGACACTAGACAGACATGTTACCTAATTTGCTATTATTTGATATTCCACTATTTTTTCAATTAATGATGTATTTCGGGTTCTAGAGATTGTCCAGAGAACCACACCTGTATTCCTTCTTTACATTCCAATCCCAACTTCAACTACACAAGTTTTGATCATTTTGGAGTGGCCCTTCTCTGTGCCTTCCGTTTGATGACACAAGACTATTGGGAAAACCTGTACATGCTGGTAAGTCAACCTGCACTACATCGTGAACTTAAATAAAGATTTTCACATTTTATAAAATAGAATAAATTTGTGAGGTAAATTTAAGTGGTAAAATCAGTGTTTTAAGTTCGGATATACGTCCTAGTCACACGAGTTTTCTTTTGTTTAAAAAAAAAGCGGGGAGCGGGTTGAGGGGGTTTTGATTAGTTAAATCACAGACCTATAAGCATGAGCTTAAGGGAGTGATTAGTGAAATACCATATACAACAACCACGAGTTTTGGAGATATGTTTCTACAACAATATTTCCAAGTTTATCGCACGATATCAGTTAGGGCGTAATAATATGACCACTAGGGAATGATTAAAATATTACAAAATACAATTGTGAACTACTTACCGCGCATTCAAATCTCCGCTAGTGCGTAAAGTGCCTTTCCCGGTGAAAGTTCATCGTGTCAGACAATAAAACCGCATTTAGTGTTCAATCCCCGTCTAGCTCACTTGTAATGTTTAAGCAGGAGTTATAATAATTAATTGGTGTTTTTGGAGTTGAAAAACATACTAATGATTTCAAAAGTGATAATACAGTCTTGTTTCTCTATGTTTCAAGGTATTGCGTGCAAATGGTCCTTGGCATTGTCTTTACTTCATGATCGTAATATTGTTAGGATCCTTCTATCTGGTCAATCTTATCCTTGCTATCGTCGCTATGTCGTACGACGAACAACAAAAGCAGGATAAAGCAGACGAGGAGAACGAGGTAAGATTAATATGGAGTTTAATGCCACATCGAATGTTATACTTGGTCAACTGCATTAAAAGAATTACGGAGATACTCAAGCCATATATCAAATCAATCTGTAGAAACTTCTATAAAATGTTACAATATTGTTGTTTGGTTACGTGGTTATATAGAAGTTTGGTAGTAATTACAAATAAATTTTCATTTCGTTGAAACGTTTCCAATCTAGTTGTCATAATATTTTGTGGATTATTGAACGTTTTACTGTAATATTTTCTTCTGCGACGTCACACTGAGATAATGTATACTAATTGTCATTGTCTGATGTCACCAAATGTGATATTAACAAAAGAAATCCACTGAGATAATGTATACTAATTGTCATGGTCTGATGCCACCAAATGTCATATTAACAAAAGAAATCCACTGCATAATTTTACGATAATGTAATATAAACTTCATTATCATTTTTTCTCTAGCACTGATACTCATCTTAGAAACCAGTAAGCAAGTATAAATCTGAAGCATTTTCCACAAGACGAAATGAATTGTACTAAATTCTTTCTTGGTATCATTTACAATCAACAGGCTTTAGACCAAGCCGCATCACCGGAAGCACATATAGGTACAATAACTGTGGTTGTACCTCCAGGAATGACGAGAAGTCCAACTGGGTCCAATCTCACTTTACCACCATATAACGGAAAAGACAAAGATACCGCAAGCATTCAGTCAGAAAAACAATCGGAGGAACATACACATCACCCTATAGTGAAAGTACGTCACGCACCCCTTTTCCGGTATCCTTCTAAATTTCCAGCTTCATGTGCATTTGTTTCCAGTTTTACCTGCTTAAGCTTTCACCACTGGGCGCTATCATCATAATTGTTACCCATAATACTGGAGTTTTGACAACGAAAGTGCTATTTTCTATAAAAATATGCAATTATTTTATTTCAGCTTCTTGCTATTTTGCATGAATTTTACGAAAAGAATTACGACATTACAACGTCGTCCCCTTTGGAGGAAACAATCCAGCTAGGAACGTCGTGCATGTGCTTGCTTCAACTTGCATTGAGTTGGCGCAGTTCTGCCATTCGTAGAGTATTTGTCAAATTTTTAACGATTATAACAAAAAAATCTACATATTTTAGAAAAACCAATGAATGAAAAATAAATGTTAGTTTTATAGGAGGTGGACGTATTAAAGTAACTGCGTTTTTAGGACGACAAAGAAATCGAATATAGTTTATCAATATTGATGAAGCTATATAATTTTCAGTAAATATTACAAAGTTTGCCTCTGTTACGTACCAATTTATAAGTAAAGTAAGAAAATACAAGTAAAAAAATATTTGGTAAAAAGACACTGTAGATAGTGCGGATGCTATTATAAGATTTGACAATAGACCGTTAAGGGTGTTTTCTCCAAGATTCAAATTTTGCAGATTTATATAAAGCTTGAAGCAAAAAGGAAGGATTTCTCACAAAAGTCATGAGATAGACGGATCTTTTCTCTATAATTTTATTTCCAGCATATGCCTTTTTCGTGATTTCAATCTAATCAAGAAAATAGCAAAAAATGACCCTCAGAAATAACATTCACTGACACCAAAGTGTGTGCTATATTCCAACGAAGATGTAACATTACTATTATTACTATTATTTGAGTCACATAATACAAATATCAATGCACGAAGACCCAGGTGCACTTGTTACACCAGCATTGATATCAAAAAATGTTTAAATGGCCAGGTTTAGAAAATATATACAGTGTTAGTTTCGTAAACTGTGAATCATCATCCTGTTGTTAATTCTGGATTGAGACATGTTCCATTATACTCCGAAACACGACTTTAAATGGATTTATTTCTAAGAATCATATCTCCTAGAGAGGTACATAACTTCAGTTTGTATGAAGCGATGATCTGAAGTTTCATGTTTAAAATGTAATAAGTAGCCCAAAATATAATGAAATGTAACTTGAAGACGATGCAGTAACATATACTTACAGAATATTTCTATAAGACTAGTCCATTACATCTTATTTAACAACTTATTGCAGTTACAAGTCATTGCACGTGGTGAAACATTTTTTATTTAGATAAATGTAAGTAGCGAAAATTATTTCAATGAAATGTAATCATACAATGTCGATTGCGGAATGTTGAATTAGATGAATAAACTGTTATCCGGTACTTCTAATGTTTTTTTACTTATTGGGCTAGAAGTGCACCTCCCTGTTGAGATTTTGAACAAGTTTTATTTCCACAGTCACCTCTTTGGTTTCAACACTTGGACCCTTATCATCGATGACGAGTCATAGAAGTATAAACAGCCATAATTCATTATATCTATGTGATTATAAATTTATATTACAAGGTGCTATTCTCTTGTGTATCTTTTGGAACTATCCATAAACAACGCCATGAACCTACCTCGATGGCAGATTAGTATGTTACTCTATGCTGAAATATTATTGTTATTGGAGATCGTCTGTATTTTAAGCAAACACGTCAGAAATATATTTGTTTCCTAGAAATAAAATCAAAAATATAGGAAGATATCGAAAACTAAATTATAAAAGATGAATTGCAATATTTTGTTTTCATTGAATTCTTCACAGAAAAATAACTTACACAGAAAAACTGGAGTTGACATGCATCGCATTGTTTGTTTACCTTTGCCCAGATCTCCAGCATTTCACCCCATCCCATGCACCATTAACCTTTTCGTTGCCTTGGATACTAAGCTTCCTGTCTCCCTTTTTCAGCCGAGCTTCAGTCTGCCTGGTTCCCCGTTTAATAGTCGGGGCAAGAAGAAACCTAAGCATGGTTCGCAAAACGCTGACCGCCAGCCCCTTGTGCCGCCTTATTTGGAAATATTCTTACCATTTGCTGATGAATCTAACGCAGTTACTCCTTCTTCAGACGAGATGTATAATGTAGACACTTTAAAAAAATACTTAACAAACGTCCACGGAAGGAGCAGTTTGGCATCTCTTGGCCTCAAAAACGATGGACGTCCCTCCTCCCGACGAAATAGCGTCGCTTCTTTGCTAAGTCGTGCCTCACACGGCAGCCGGCGTTCACAACATTCCAACAAGACGCCAAGCAAATTTGATGCTCTTACTCGTACGATGAGCAAGCACAAAGGCCATCATCTTATGCCTGAGGTATATGTAGACAGATCTAAATCTGATGATGTAAGTTTTAGTTACATGACAATCGCCACGCATCCTGGTGAAGGACATATCCTACTTCTGCTGTAACATGAATGCTTAGATATATTGAACACTAGAACGAATCGTTCAATAATGTCATAACATTTTCTGTTGCAATTGATAATTAGAAATATTATTCATTACCTCAAATATTACACGAGAAATTGCAATCTTTTATTCGTTATTGAATATTTGAACGATTCTCAACTAGGTCAATGTATTTTCAAAATCATTTTTCTATAAAATATATTCTCTCTGAATATCCAGAAAGCTTTTCTCTCAGTAGTAGTTTATCTGCTACCTCACTAACAATGCCAATCATATCAACACACATCATACCTTACTACGTCACACTATTAAACGGGCAGTATTTAATATCACTTCACCGTTCACGTTGTCAAGGTAACTAACAAGTACGTTATATGCCCGATATCACACTATCGGATGAAGGATTCTGCATGTGGTTTTGTGTTTAGATGCTTTGGTTTGCATGTGCGTATATCGTTCCACACCATGCTTTGCAAACAATCTTTATTGTGAGGGTTATACATTGTGTTTAGTACGTTTAGATATCTGTGAAAGTTTGATATTTGTAATGTAAAAACGTATGGTGTAATGTGATTTTGTGAGAGAAAATAATTCCATTTGGTAAAATTGGCCATTTGTTCCCTTTTCTTCTATCCTAGAAAATAAGTGGAATATATACTTACTGTTTACACCGATGATAAATTTAATCATCCTGCATTATCTTTTCCCTTTATGCTGAAGTAAATAACTTACGTTGGGATTGGTGCAGATGACGTAATTATTACGCCATCTCCTTCCCCTTACGGGGCTGAAAGTAAGCGGAATGATAATAAGGGTTTGCGACTGAAAGAAACTCATATAGAACCCCTGAGTACTGGATCAATCGCAATGATAATATAAATTGATGAAATACGTTTGATAATTGTTGCAAAGCTTATAAGGTTCTGTAATTTATAAATCAGATATAGTAGAAAAGTAATAGTGATTCAAACAAATTTTAATTCCCTCATCAAAACGTAAAATTCAACGGCACGACCATGTTTAATCTTGGTTGTGATAAATCAGTATCGTGTCACACTTTAGGTCGTCCTATCTGGACGAGATATTTGATCATATTGTACCTATAACTCGCACTGTAAATGCTATTATTGTCAAGGGGTTTAAGTCCTGGTGCGTCAGCATTGACATTAACAAGTTTTAACAGATTTTCTGTCTGGTTCAAAGTATAAACCTGATAAAACGGATTTGAAATATTTGAAATAATAATAATAATAATAATAATAATAATAATAATAATAATAATAATAATAATAAAATAACAAAACGAAAACATAATCATCTTACAGTATCTTAGATCTTGGAAAAACGTCAGGCATGATGAAATCTGATATTTGATGTAACTTTACATGCTTACTTCCCGATTATGAGAAAATACCGTGTAAATAAAATCTCCAGTTTCATAATTAATATATATGACATAAGTGTATCATATTTCCATAATAACCAGTTAAGTGATGATATAAAACTGAAAAAAGTGGAGATAAAGTGCTAATGCTTCTTTTTATCTTCTGTGTGTATGCTGGTCATCTATATCTTCATTCTTAATGACACTCTCAGTTCAACTAGTAAAACGAGACTAAACCGGATGATGGCATTCATAAGCACACTGACACTGTCGTATCGGTGATGGTTTAATAATTCATAGCTTTTTCACCCATTCTTATAGCAAATGCATTCGTTATCATCGAATTACTAACACATTGTTATATTCCATTTGATTTATAAGAAGTGATGATGGAAACTTTTAAACAGAACGAATTGTCGAAGTCTTTCCTGTAAGTAATTCTATATTTAGCAATTATCTATATAAATATTTGACTTTGTTAAATAAGTATTTTAATTCATATTGGTGGTAAACATTTGAATTTTATTAGCCCACCATCATCAGATGGTGGGGTATTCAAATCGCCCTGCGTCCGTGGTCCGTCGTCAGTCCGTCCGCCCGTAAACAATTCTTGTTACCACTATTTCTGGGAAAGTACTGGATGGATCTTTCTCAAATTTCATATGCAGTTTCCCCTTGGTCCCTAGTTGTGCATTGTACCTTTTTTGGACTGATTTGAATTCAAGATGACTGACAGACAGCCATCTTGGATTTTGTAAGTAAACGTTTGTTATCTCTATTTCTTGGAAAGTACTGGATCGGTCTTTCTCAAATTTCATATGCAGGTTCCCCGTGGTCCCTAGTTGTGCATTGTTCCTTTTTGGACTGATCTGAAATCAAGATGGCTGACAGGCAGCCATCTTGGATTTTGAGAGTAAAATCTTGTTACCGCTATTTCTGAGGAAGTACTGGATGGATATTTCAAAGGTATTGGTTTCCCTTGGCCCCTAGTTGTGCATTGTACTTTTTTTGGACTGATTTGAAATCAAGTTGGCTCACAGGCAGCCATCTTGGATGTCGACAGTAATACAGCACAAGCATATTTTCTTCGATATTCTATGATATTGATTCAAGACCATGTCCATTATCTACCTGTAACTGACTGCTGTCTAATAATACTTTGGGATTTTTTCAAATGATATTTGCTAATAGGTGCTTAATAAAAATATCTTGTGCCATCATTGAGTACATTCAATGAAGACCAGTTCATGAACATTTACAAAACCTGTAGCAAAAAAAAAAAAAACAAAAAAAACAAATCTTCAAGAACTGAAAACAGATCCTCAAATGATGGGCGCCAAGATCCCTCTGGGATCTCTTGTTACAGTACAAAACGATTTGATTGAACCTAACATATTTCAAAGTGTATAATATATCATAATGAATGTAATAATATCTAGCAAATGGAGGGATTTGCCTCCATCTTCAATAAATAGATAAATCCTCAGAATAAAGTTAAGTGACTTTTGCACAGGTTCTCTATGCTAGGTGTGCACTTGATGATCAATCGTGGGTACTAAACGATGAACATCGCCAATGTTACCTTTCTCAACCAGCTGTCCAGGTAATTCATTATAACAAAAAAATACTAATAAAGTACTAATCGTTTAAAAATATTACTCTTATAGAAATATTATTAACACCCCACTAACCCATTCGTATGGAATATAAGTAAAATCTGGGAAACAATGAGTTTTTTTTTCTTTAAGAAGCAACGTTTGAGGTTATATCCAAAAATCACTTTCATCAAATTGTCATGAACTTAAAAAAAAACTTGTTTAATTACACCGGTTTAATTGCATTATTTATTTATTTGGCTGTTTATAAATACTATCTATTTCTTTGATGAAGGCTGAAGTAGTGCCGTGCGTACAATGTTTAAAAGTAATATGAAATCATGAAATATATACTTTTACATCTTTATCAGTCTCCTAACATTTTATGTATCTTTTACATATATGCTTAATTCATTACGTGACTATACCTGATTCTAAGTTAATATTAAAACATGCTATTTTGTACAATCCTGTTATATCTTTCGTGGCGTCATAAGCAAATCGTTTGAGTTTGACACCAAGCAAAAGATCTATCAAGGAGACTGCTCTGGGAATAGAGTTAGTTTAGTCAAAAGCGGTGCTCTAGAGAGTTCAATTTAATATTCAATGTAGAGGAATGGTGATATTATATATATATATAAATATATAATGTGTTACGATATGTGACTGATGTATAAATGTTTTGCTTGCATGCTCGAGTGTTTCATAGTGTGCATTCTTTTAAATTGAACACTGCAGGATTATTTAAAATTTCATGCATGCTATGCTTTCACACAGGGATCCTTACTTGGCACCATACAGGCCATTCCGTCCGTTTCTGAATCTCAGATTTGTTTAAGTATTTTATCTTTCTTCTTGGAATACATTTGTCTATGATGTGTTTAAATATAATGCTCTCGTGAAATATAGCCTAGTAAATTGGAATACGATAGTGTTGATCCTTTTATGATACTAGACGAAAACATCTACTTTCGATTCGTTTAAATCCTTATGTAACTGATTGATTGATACTACTTTTGCTGTTGAAAGATATTCTAAAAATGGCTTGTGACTTTTCTCTATACGTGTTATGTTTTTGTTGATTTAACTTTGTACTTTGTTCCAATTTGTATAAAACATTATAATAAATCAAGATAGCTCAGAATACTGTTTTACAATAACTAGACAAGAGATAAGAAGCGCTTAAAAACAAAGCAAACAAACAAACACTTTTCTTCTTGTTCTGCTATAATGAAAGAAAAATAGGTGGTCGCGTGGTTATTTAGTTTCAAGTGGTGTAATATCATGTTACATATTACATATACGACTTGTATTCTATTGTTTCCTTAATGCGGGGATGAGGGTGAAGCTTTGCGTATGTCTGGTAAGAATTAGTTAGACTTTAAATGATTCTGTGAATGTTAACATTCAAACTGGAATAACTAGATTCTTATGAATATGCATGAGTCAATTGCTTATTTGCAAAGATAGAATGATGATGACCTTACTTTGTTTAGCTCATTGCTACCTTTCGCCTTCAGTCGCTAGTTACCATCCTTGTTCTATGATATCTTGCTTTACATATTTACAACAATGTTAAACATTCTAGAATCGTTTATATAATATCTTATTGTAGTTCAGCAGGTTTCATTCAAAATCTTCACTTATGTTTCAGTTATCAGGAAAATGTTACAAAACATTATCAAAACGATGAAATTATTTAAGTTCGTCATGCAAGGAAAAAAAATTGAGATGTGAGAATTATATTATCAATTGGAAATAATTTTTTGTAACTTTTCCTGATTCCAAATTATGTATACGGATATCTCCAAAATTTAACACCTGCGAAATTGCTACAGTATCGTTATGATAAAAAAAGTGGACGAATTTGAATGTTTAGTCAATTTCTGCATATACAAAACATATAGACCACTTCATATGTTGGACATGATTAAATGGATATGTATACATTATCTTAAATATTCATAATTTTGTTTAAGGGTTCACAGTCCGAACACGACGGTGACAAGAAACGCCACCTCAACTCCTGCCGGACTCCAAGTGTTCCCGATATGGATGTCAAAGGTAATAAAAGGCATCGAAACAAGAGATGATTACATTTGAATGCTGAACCATTTCCTGAAGATATTCTAAACGTTCATTTTTTGTAAATATTTTTTTCTGTATATCAATATTTATATAAAACAATGTAGGTTCTTTCATGGACCTTGTTAGACACAGACTTTCACATAAGGCCTAAGACGAAACAAAAACATCATCCGTTTTATACGTAATCGCACCATTAGTAGTCGGGGTTATTTTGAGGCCAGATCTCCCTATAGTAGTTGTTGATCATCTCACTGAACCACATACGGGATGCCCATCTTATATTATTCTTAACAACTGTAAATTTCGTTAATCACGAACGACCAATTCATCTGGTTTTAGACAGATTGTAAGGTCAAGGTGTTTGATATGCAACACATAAATCCAACTTTGAAATTATGTGTTGCAAATGTATAGATATATGTGATAGAACAACGAACCATTTTGATAGGTATTTCAAGGTAAAAATCCTACAGTGAAACTGAATATATCTATTCCACTAAGGGCAATTTCTGCCTTATTTGCATTTATTTATTTAAAGTCGCCATCTTTGGTGAAGCTCTTTTCTTTTATATCACCACAGTTTCTATCCTGAATATTAGCAGCAGGCTATGAAATTGGTTCAATCTCTCATAAATAGGCACGGCCAAACTCCTTTTTCCTTTAGTGAGCGTTATTTTGACTTTTCCAAACGACGTCCGTTGTGAGATTTTCATAATTTCTGAAAATATATCCCATCTTATCAATGACCATTTGATGTTTTCTTAAAATTCCTTTGATTTCTATAATATTTTGCAGATGTGACTGTCATCCGGGAACTTTTGGAAACTGCTTCCGGTCATCGAGGAAGTAAGTGCCAATATATATGTTTACCGTTATTTTCCATAATGCATTCCTGAACATCATATAGATGAAGTGAAATCAATAAGTTAAAATAAATGATCAAGTATAGCTTGTCTCAGTGTTTCAGGTTTATCGGATATGTGTCATTTCCAGTAATTCGATATGAAACCCGCATACAAATCTTTGCGCGAGGGGTAGGTGCTCAACAGCCAAAATTGCTAGGTTGATTTACATAGAAAGTCACATATTGATTTCATAAATTCTAATCTACTAGATGCATAGAACAGTTGTGTCATTTCGATGCTGTTTTTTAACTTATTGTCAAAACATAGAAACAACGAAAAGTTTAATGATGATTTGTCTTTACAGGCTTCATGAGTAGCGACTTGGGAGAACCTGTCATTCCACTGAAGGACCGATTGTACTTAAAATTCTGTAGCTGGACCTGTTGTCCTTGTTGGTTAATGTTTCAAAAAGGTGTTGCCTGGTTCATTCTCGACGCTTTCGTTGACCTGTTTATCACGATCTGTATCCTGGTCAACACTGCATTTATGGGAGCTGATCATTATGGAATGTCCGAGAGTTTAGCAAATGTTCTGACAAACGGCAATTACGTAAGATTTCACTTATTACGAAACTTCATTCATAAAATTATAATATCAGATCCCCTTTCTTTCTTCTCCTGTATTGAATCGATAAAAGAAAAACCGGATGATTTCCCACATTACAGTATACACATTGTGCTAGAATATGGTTTATCACTGGTTTATCTGTTTCATAACATTAAAACAACAAATGCATTTTGGTTTAAGCATAGTCCTTGTCAGTGCTCGCATACATTGCAAGCAAAAACCAGGAGTATTTGTTCGTGTAGACTTATGGATAATATGGCGATGAGTCATTTTTACAGAGAAAAAAACAGACTGCATTATGCATACTTATCTCAGTATGTTGATACAATTGTCTATAGCACAACCTAAAAGTTTGTGGTACATTTTAATATAATTTACTCAACGTCAAAGTAATAAAAACATTTTTAACAATCGTCTCAGATTTCTAAAGTATAGATTCGAGTACCGCTGACAAGTCATAAATTGACAAAACAACTGTATGGTGCAGTATTTAATTCATCATTTGGTTACTGTATGTTAAACGCTATATTGAAAGGTACTCGTCACCTGTGTGTTTTTCATGCACTTCTTTATTACAACGGAGACTGACACATGATTGTTTCATGTTTGATATTTGTCAGGTTTTCACAGCTATTTTTGCGACTGAAGCTTTCCTTAAAGTCATCGCGTTGGGTCCTGTGGTATATCTAAAAGACAAATGGAACTGCTTCGACGGTGTCATCGTATTCCTAAGCTTCCTGGAACTTGCCCTGGATGGAGTGTCTGGACTTTCCGTACTCCGCAGTTTTAGATTGGTATGTACTTATCAATATTCGGAGATATAATACCTCAGTTGACTGTTTGATGATTGTGGCTGTCGCTTAGAAATAAAACTTGATGATTTGTTTATTTTGAGAACGTGCCATACTTACTCGGATTGACCAAGGTTCATATTGTGGGTGTCATAGATGAAGCAGAAAACGCCTACTCCTCTGGGACATCTGGTCTCCATCTTCTTTTGTGATTATGATGATGTTGATATGTTGTTATTTTCGTGTTGTTTATTGATGTAATTGATTAGTTATGTATTATTTGAAGTGTTCTTGATACGTCTACACTTACATTATGTTCAAAACATTTCAAAGTATAATATTTTCAGATATCAAGTAATCAGAATAAATTACTGTAAACGCGCATGTTTGGCATAGTATAAATTTAGCGTTAAATTGAGTTCTGCAATGTTAGCACAATGATAAATTCGCTTATCCCTAGAAATAACTATATTAGCATCATAAAGAAACTTCAATTAGCACAATGATATTTTAGCACAATACTTTCAGTGGGGAATGTGCTAAAATATGTGCGTTTACAGTCTACTGTATTCTTTTGTTCAAATGATTTTGCATTGCGCAGTATATGGAGAACAACAACATTTCCAATGTATTTCTGTAACATTTTCTTGTTGACAGTTACGTGTGTTCAAGCTTGCGAAATCCTGGCCTACACTAAACATGTTGATAAGCATTGTGGCGAAAACTGTCGGAACATTAGGGAACTTGACCTTCGTGCTTGGAATCGTCGTATTCATTTTTGCTGTGATGGGTCAACAATTGTTTGCAAGTTCTTACATAAATGAATACGGTCCGAATGGAACTTTTCACGACGAGGAGTTCCCAAGATGGAATTTTACGGATTTTTTACACTCATTCATGATTGTATTCCGAGTACTTTGCGGAGAGTGGATTGAATCCATGTGGGGTTGTCGGCGAGTGGCGGGAATTCATTGTATACCCTTTTTCCTGATGACCATGGTCTTAGGGAATTTAGTCGTGAGTATCAACACACAGTGATGAATGAATAAACAGCTTGATGATCTACAGATAAAAATTGAACGTAATCAAGTAAATATATATAACGAATTAAACTTTAATCAGTAAAACTAAATATACGTCGATTTTTCGTAAGAACTAGTATTTATCTTCCTAATTTATGTAAAATTACTTATTTTCAGAAGCATCTATTATATACGTTTTAAATGTATTGTAGCCATGTTGGTTTAATTATTAGTTACGGAACCTGTTGTTAGGTTAAATGATTAGGCATTGTACCTGTTTCATGATTGAATAATTAGGTTCTGTACCTGTTTCATGATTGAATAATTAGGTTCTGTACCTGTTTCATGATTGAATAATTAGGTTCTGTACCTGTTTCATGATTGAATAATTAGGTTCTGTACCTGTTTCATGATTGAATAATTAGGTTCTGTACCTGTTTATGTTGAAATATTAGGCACTGTACCTGTTTGGGTTGAAATATTAGGTGTTGTATCTGTTTGGGTTGAAATATTAGGTGCTGTATCTGTTTGGGTTGAAATATTAGGTGCTGTATCTGTTTGGGTTGAAATATTAGGTGCTGTACCTGTTTGGGTTGAAATATTAGGTGCTGTACCTGTTTCTTGGTTGAATCATTAGGTACCGTATCTTTTACTTGGTGTAATTATTAGGTTCTGTACCTGATCTGAAACATTTTTCCTGCTTAAATTATTAGGTACTGAACCTGTTTCTTGCTTGCCTGTTGAGCGCGTTCGGAGCGGACAGTTTACAGGATTCTGGTACGGAAGAAGCTGAACCAAATAAACTACTAGAGGCCATCAACCGGTTCAAACGGTTAGTGAACAACTATACATAGCATTACAATTTAACACGTCTGACATGTTTGTTCAATTTTATCCAAAGACACACAAATACAATTCTACATAACCAACGACATTTGGTCCAATCGTTATATCTGTGTAAAGAATCCACAGGGTTATAATAGAAGAACGAAAGAAATTTATTTACCTGGTTCGTTAGGGACCGGATACAGTTGGTAATGATAAAAGAAAAGTTATCAATGTCCACTTGCGAATAGGTAAACTTAAAGAGTGGACTGTAGGGGACTTAATTACATTGAACTGACGAGCGAGAATATAACTATTTTATACATATATACATTACATTACTGGGTGTAATATCACACGGTACAAACGCACACGGGTATAACACCGAATGGAACAATTGTTATTCGTAAATATATCACACGGTACTATATTGATATTGCTCGGTATGATATCACACAGGACTGTGGAAGCTCGGTATGATATCACACAGGACTGTGGAAGCTCGGTATGATATCACACAGGACGATACTGTGATATATAGACATAATATCGCACAGGACTGTGGAAGCTCGATATGATATCACACAGTGCTGTGGAAGCTCGGTATGATATCACACAGGACTGTGGTAGCTCGGTATGATATCACACAGGACTGTGGAAGCTCGGTATGATATCACACAGGACTGTGGAAGCTCGGTATGATATCACACAGTACTGGAATCTAGGTATGATATCACACAGGACTGTGGAAGCTCGGTATGATATCACACAGGACTGTGGAAGCTCGGTATGATATCACACAGGACTGTGGAAGCTCGGTATGATATCACACAGGACTGTGGAAGCTCGGTATGATATCACACAGGACTGTGGAAGCTCGGTATGATATCAAACGATACTGTGATATATAGACATTATATCACACAGGACTGTGGAAGCTCGATATGATATCACACAGTGCTGTGGAAGCTCGGTATGATATCACACAGGACTGTGGAAGCTCGGTATGATATCACACAGGACTGTGGAAGCTCGGTATGATATCACACAGGACTGTGGAAGCTCGATATGATATCACACAGTGCTGTGGAAGCTCGGTATGATATCACACAGGACTGTGGAAGCTCGGTATGATATCACACAGGACTGTGGAAGCTCGGTATGATATCACACAGGACTGTGGAAGCTCGGTATGATATCACACAGGACTGTGGAAGCTCGATATGATATCACAAAGAGCAGTGGAAGCTCGGTATGATATCACACATGACCGTGGAAGCTCGGTATGATATCACACAGGACTGTGGAAGCTCGGTATGATATCACACAGGACTGTGGAAGCTCGGTATGATATCACAAAGAGCTGTGGAAGCTCGGTATGATATCACACAAGACTGTGGAAGCTCGGTATGATATCACACAGGACTGTGGAAGCTCGGTATGATATCACACAGGACTGTGGAAGCTCGGTATGATATCACACAGGACTGTGGAAGCTCGGTATGATATCACACAGGACTGTGGAAGCTCGGTATGATATCACACAGGACTGTGGAAGCTCGGTATGATATCACACAGGACAGTGGATGCTCGGTATGATATTACACAGGACTGTGGAGGCTCGGTATGATATCACACGGTACTGTGGAAGCTCGGTATGATATCACACAGGACTGTGAAAGCTCGGTATGATATCACACAGGACTGTGGAAGCTCGGTATGATATCACACAGGACTGTGGAAGCTCGGTATGATATCACACGGTACTCTGGAAGCTCGGTATGATATCACACAGGACTGTGGAAGCTCGGTATGATATCACACAGGACTGTGGAAGCTCGGTATGATATCACACAGGACTGTGGAAGCTACTGTGATATATGATATCACACAGGACTGTGGAAGCTCGGTATGATATCACACAGGACTGTGGAAGCTCGGTATGATATCAAACGATACTGTGGAAGCTCGGTATGATATCACACAGGACTGTGGATGCTCGATATGATATCACACGGTACTGGAAGTTAGGTATGATATCACACAGGACTGTGAAAGCTCGGTATGATATCACACAGGACGGTGGAAGCTCGGTATGATATCACACAGGACTGTGGAAGCTCGGTATGATATCAAACGATACTGTGGAAGCTCGGTATATCACACAGGACTGTGGAAGCTCGGTATGATATCACACAGGACTGTGGAAGCTCGGTATGATATCACCGTGATATATAGACATAATATCACACGGTAATACGGTAGATGGGTATAATATCACATGGATATTATATTAGAAAGTACACTTGCAGATGAGCATGCATAGTTATCATTATACTGCCGATCTACTTATATTTTATTACACCTTTCTTTGATACAAGTAATGTTCGTTACTAGCGGTGTATATTAGACATAGATAAACCACTTTCAATGATATCACGAATTCAAGGAATAATAGAACCGACACAGTATACCATTCCGTTCTTGTATTTCAAATTTCTGAAAACTAATACTTCACATTTTACTATCAAAAACAGCCAATATTTAAATCTATCAGTCCCCTTTAAGTATCGTTCATGAACAGATGGGGAGAATTTAAGATGGGTTGATTTTTTTTAAACACATGTAACCCATATATTCAACCATCAGATGGCGAAATGAACACGAGGCAATTCGTGTGTTATTGTGCAAGGGCGAAAATATCCCGATGTAAGGTTTATGGTTTTGATTTATCAGTGTTATGAGTTTATTTTCATTCATTTCAGCTTCGGCTCTTGGGTCAAGGTTAACGTTATTGTATGTGTGAAGGTGAAAATGCAGCGTAAAAGTAAACCGCCTATCTTGCCAGTTGTGTCACCGAGTTTGTCAAGGGTAGAACTCAACGGGAAAGAGCCTATATCAGACGGACCAACACCTGTTATCCGTAACGGTAAACTGGAAAAGAGCCACGAGCCGCCCACTCCTACTGCCACAAAGCCTACAGGTCCTTTTTCACCCACTCAAATACCTCAAAATCTCTCAAGCAAAGTGATTTTACCGCAATTGTTATCTCTCAGTCAAAATGTTTATGTTTTTCGTATTACGCTCTCTTTCCTCCCTCTCTATTTCATCAAATTATCCATTACTCTCTTGTCTATCTCTGACTGCCTCTGTCTACTTGTCATTCTCTCATTCTCTCTATCATTTCTTTTATCATTCTCTTGAAGAATCCGTGTTTCTAGGATTGTCACGTTCTACATCTGCTTTCTTTTTTTCATTGAGGTTAATGTAATCTATAGGTCTATTTTAATCTATAAGTCTATTTTTAATTTATATGTCTATTTTTAATCTGTAAGTCTATTTTTAATATCTATGTCTATTTTTAATCTGTAAGTCTATTTAAGTCTATTTTTAATCTGTAAGTCTATTTAAGTCTATTTTTAATCTGTCTATTTAAGTCTATTTTTAATCTGTAAGTCCTTTTCAGTCTATTTTCATCTGTTAGTCTACTATAAATAGCTTTTGTAGAGGTTTTTATAGTTGTGTTTTTCTCCTTTTAAATTTAATCTTTTTATCCTGATAAATATTTGATTTTTCATCTAATGATGTATATACTCTTATTAATTCAACATTTCATTTCTATCATATGGGTACTGAATGGCTTAATGTAGATAACTCTACATGCTATCAGTTTGAAATTAAAATCTATCTTTCATCCAACATTTTGTTTCGGTCATCTGAAAATCCATGTCCCCATTCTCTGTTTTATTTCTGTAAACTTTACAACTTAATTAACTTTATTGAAATTACTTTAACTAATTTGCATATCACTCTGTTCCCTTTGTTGAATTTCCGTTTATTTTCAGTTAGTTGTTACAAATATCCTGTCGTCTACTTTTCGTTTTTCTGGATGAACGTATACTATTTGTCATTCAGTCTTTTCCTCTTTTATCCAATAACGCATTTCCCCCTACTTGAGTCTTTGTATTTTTCATGTTTCTCTCCCGAGTCGTTTTTTTTCTGTGTTTTAATACAATTTTGCCGTTTCTGTTAATGACTTTTAGTTTTTTGAACTGTGTAAATGTTTTCAACTTCCTCTTTACAACTCTCTCTCTCATGCCTCATGCGACCCCTTTCTTACGAACGAAGGGATTCTGACAAAATATTTTTTGGAGTGTCATTTGGGAGAGAAAACTGAATTCTATGAAAGTTCTGGGATCACTACCTTGTTTTAGAAGGACAAGACTTGAAACCCATGTTAAACAGATAAAGGGATTTTATTCTAAATGTTACCTTGTGCATCGGTTTTGTTTAAAGGGATGCTTTGTGACAAGAGACTGGGAATGCCCATTTATAGCGGGAGCGGGGAAGCGCGTGCAGAATAAAATCTTATCGTGATGAAAGGCATTAGGGGCAAATTTGGTTTGAAGCAGTATTTGATGTCTACGTTGTCAATAACGGGTAAAACATAGGAATGAAGAACAAATGTTTTCTAAAGCATTATTGATTGAGGATTCAAAGTAAGACTGACAGTCTGCACCTCTGGAGGCAGAAGGGTACAGGGGAGTGGGAAATGAGACGAAAATGCTTTTGTCCTTTTTACCAAATGATCTCTCCTCCAATTTGGAAAAGAGGTATGATCAAATATGTGTTAATATTGTTTTTCTTTCAAAATCAGAATTGCTGCGAAACTCCCTTGGAATTAGGAAATAAAATCGTACATGTACATATGTAATGAAGTTGTGGTGCATCCCTTTGTATTACACGGCACAGTCTAAAATAATGGAAATATTTCAGTTTTTATCACCATTAAAATACCATTTACATGAAAGTGACCAATACCAGCCCACTTGGCCTCTTGTCAGTTGTAGGTTTCTACACCAGTATGTACTTTTCTTTATTGGATTATCATGCTTCTTCCACCATCATTTATGTGTTCCATGTTCCTCTGTTTCCCGTTGCTTCATTGCACTGATATGTATTCGGTCCTTCTGATAAAACAAACCGCCACATATTCTGTCAAACTCCCACGCCTGTTTTTTTCGGCCTTCAAATAGCACAGAACTGTTATTTCCTGTTCACGTACATTTCGTTTTGTTGTGATATTTCACGTGCTTTTACACAAATTGCTTAAAATGCAACTTCCACGATGAAACACATTTTTGTAAATGGTCTACTGGAACGTAGTTTCATCAACAATGAAAGACCTCTTTATACTTAAGTAACTTGCTTCAGATTTACAAAACTTTACTGACTTCAAGAAATGATATTAATTTAGTAATTGGTGATAAAAAAAATACGATATTTTTTTTAATTATGACAAGAAATGATGAAAGTTTGAAGATTTAAATTTACGTTCGTGTAAAAAATGATAATTTTGAATCCATTTTTTTCTGTTTAATCTTGCGTATGTTTACACCTATACACTATATGCATTAATATATTGTAAAACAGAAATAATTGTTGTGAAAGATATTAAGAAGCCGTCGGTTAATATTACAAGTTTAAACATGAATGTATCTTTTCTGACATTTTATAGCTGACAGTGCTACGATTAGCGTGAAGGACATGGACAAGGTAAGTGGACGTTTTATAATTAGTGTAGCTTGTAATTATCAACGAATCTTACTAATTCATGTTGATTATTGTCATTATGCTCATTATTCAGTACAACAAGCTTATAAGATACATTTAACTATTCCGGAACATCTAGTTTTATTTTCCGTTTTCATAGATCTTCACAGAAATCTTCCTTTTTTCATATTTGGCCGAGGTCCATTGAAGCTGAATTAAGATTTCCATTCTCAGAACTCGGCTACAAATCACTCATTAAACAAGGTTTTTAGATCATTTCTTCCTGTAAAATATATCGCGCCCACTGATTCTAGCCGGCTAGGTAAAAAAAGATTGCAGTTTATAGATTTTCTTGCAACAATTAAGATCAAGTTTAGCTTAATTCTAATTGTATTTGACGTCAAGAAAGCAAGAAAAAATAAATTAATTGATCACTCGAAGCTGATATCTGAATAGAATGAAATATGTTAGGTGAAAAAGATCTAAAAACAACTTTGATTTATTTTTGTACTATTTTCTAAAAAGCAATCGGAGTCCTCTACTAGACCTGCAAGTCGTGCAACATTGAAAAGCCATAAAGATATGGATGGAAGTTCTTCCGGCTCCTGTTCAACACTCTCCGACGATGCTAAGGAGCGGCTGAACATGGTCGATGCAGAAGGCGATCCTGAAATCAATGAAGTAGATGTTGTTTTTGCTAATTACCCGGATGACTGTTGGTGCCAAGTATTCCGGAAGCGTTGTACCTGTTGCATCGTATTTGAGAATTCTCCAGCTGGGAAGAAATGGTGGGATCTCCGCTGCAAAGCATATGCTATGGTGGAACACAACTACTTTGAATCATTTATAATCATCATGATCTTGGCCAGTAGTTTCGCGTTGGTAAGCTATTGATACTGTCTGCTTATGTGACTGAATAAAGAGTATGTGGTTCACTATTGGAGTGTTGTTGATGAAACAGAAGACGCTAGCCTTTCCAGATCACCTGGTCTTATTCTCCTTGTGCTTTTTCAACACTCTCTCATTTTTCTTGTTCATATTTTGCTCTTGTTTCGTTGAATCGTTCGTCAAATCTCTGTTTGAATTAAGAAAATGTGAAAATGTCGGTATACTATATTCATGTTTTCAATCGGAATTCACATCAGTATCTTACTTGTATGATTCATTCATCCGGCTTATTATTTGCGGCCAACGTTTCATTTCGATGTTCTCCTATACATTATTTCTACATAATATCCCAAAGTAATATTTACCACTTATTGATATTTATAAAATAAACGGATATTTGGATATTTTAAAAAGAAAACATATTATATTCATAGCCCTGATTTATTGAGGGGGGGGGGGGGTGTCGTAGTAATAATTTTATACGTGCATGTGCATGCAAGCAAAGCTTGTGTATAAAATATCCCATGAACCCCCTCGATGTATATAGTTCATATTTCACTTAGAGGCATCTCACAGGCAAGTTTTACGCCTGATTATAACGTGTGGTTATCAGTTGATGTGAAAGGTGAAAGGTCTTGGTTCACCCTTAACCACATTGAAAATGAACAGTGTGTGAACAATATATCAACCGATTAAGTTAAAATTGTTTCAAAAAAAAAGAGAGAAAAAAACAAGGAGAGTCGGGGTGGGGGTTACATCTAGATGAGTCCATGGTCACATTTATTTTAGTCTATAGTCCGATCACCTAAAATATGGCCGGTATCGTCGATGAAGCAGAAGACGCTTACTCTTCCGGAAACCCGTACTTTTTCAGAACTCTTCATGTAAATCTTTCTTTAGTTTTGTTAAATTTGAGTTAAGATTACGATTATTTTGACATGTTGATATATTCTAGTTGGTTTTTTGTGATGTTTAATTATCAACATAAGCCTATTTTCTTCCTCATTCTTCTTTATACTTTCAAAAAGTTAAACTTTTATTTCATATTTCTGTTGAACAGGCGATTGAAGACATATATTTACCCGAAAGACCTGTGTTGCAAATGATATTATCCTATTTGGATAAAGTATTCACGACAGTCTTCATCGTGGAAATGTTGATCAAGTGGCTTGCCTTTGGATACAAGAAATATTTCACGGATGCTTGGTGTTGGTTGGACTTCATTATTGTGCTCGTAAGTGTATAGATCTACATGTATCCAGCACAACAAAGTTTCAGGTCATTATTTGTCTATACTTCATTCTAACTTTGTAGTGAAAGGTCACATCCATGGATGATTTTTGTACAGTGTACAGTTAGGAAAATCTACTATCCAACGTAACAAAAACTGGAACTAGTTCTTATCGGCTGGATAACATTATATTTGTCCGATCAGCTAAAATGCTTAAGTAGACAGGTTTAATCTTAATATTTATTTTTAGAATTTAGATTACATGAAATTTGTCGAAACACTTCATTGTCAGATTAAAATTTAATAAACACTGATTATTTCGTTTATATTTACGAAAGGTTAATGGATTACACACATTTTTTCTTTCCAAATTGCTGACATATAAAATTTTCTTAAATGGCCACAATTTGTAACACCTGTATCACCTGTAGTACGGGTATATAGACTTACGAGTTTGGTTGGTATTATACATTTATTTGTAGCTTGTTCGAATTCGACATGGTCACCTGTAGGGAATGAACGATTTTGAATATCTATTGCAGATTTCCATTGTTATGTTAATAGCAGAATCAATGAATATTACTGATGTAGGAGCATTCAAAGCGATGAGGACCCTGAGAGCTCTTCGTCCCCTCAGAGCTATATCTAGATGGGAAGGAATGAGGGTAACGTTGTTAAATATACGGTTTCAGATCATCGTTAGCTAGTTAATCCTAATCTAAAGTATTAATCTTCATGTTCGTTTGTTTTCGTTTTTGTTAGTAAAAATTATGTTATTTTATCTTAAACATATAGGTTTCTATACAATGAACCGTAACGTGTTTTAAATGCATTGAGTTACGTATACTATTTTCTGCTTTTTAAAATAAATGTCGAAAATGGAGTTAAGATTGCTTGATATGACTGATGAATGATGAAAAATGATAATTTGAAATTGATGTATTAAGGAAAATAAACTCCTGCAAACTTTTCTCGTAGATTTAACGGTTTGTAGCAAGAAAGTCGCATCTGCTTTACCTGGAAAATTACTGATATCATTGCTGCGTGTCCGTGAAATATCTCCATTAATTATTAAAGTCCTATGCACACATAAAATAAAATCCAAATTGATAGAAATTTCAAGAAATATTTTAAACAAAAATTAACAACAAAAAATCTTATGTTTTATCACAACTGTTCCAAAATGATTTTTCCATTTATAAGATTTGCCCTTTGTTTTCTTGAAACAAAATATCTTCTGATATCTTACGCATTAAGTTTTGATGACAACACTTCTGAAAGACTTTTTGTCAGATTTATACAAAACCCGTGTTACTTTCAGTGATTTTTTTTTATTTATCAAACTTTGACCTTTGCATGTCTTAAAAGCCACTTTCTGAATCTGATCGATATTTCTTGACTTTATCTTCGAGGACAAAGTGCAGTGGATGTTTGTATAGGATGATTTCATCATTTTCCCTTTCATTCGGTTTAATATTGTGTTTCCTTGCAGGTTGTCGTCAACGCTCTGATCAAAGCCATCCCTTCCATTTTCAATGTGCTTCTTGTGTGTCTAGTATTCTGGTTGATCTTTGGTATAGTCGGAGTGCAATTTTTCTCGGGGAAATTTCATAAGTGTGTTAACTTGGAAGGCGTTAAGGTGTTACCATCAGAAATCCCGAACAAAACTGTTTGTAATAACACTGAAGGATACAAATGGATTAACGCGAGAGTGAACTTTGACAATGTGTTAAACGCTTATCTGGCCCTCTTCCAAGTGGTAGGTATAATCAAATGATATGAATATTAATATGACCTCACAACTACGTTTTTGCCCAAACGTAATACAGTCCTATTGGGAAATCTGATTCGAATATACTGCAAGTCTTTTAAGTTATATTACGGTAGATAAATACACGTAATCAAACGATGAATCTAGAATTTCATACTGAATCTTTTAATAAAATAGTATTAATTCCTAAACTGATGAGAAGTTTCGAAGTGCCTGACAAATATCGTATTTCTTCATGATATCATATGTTAATGTATATATCTTAGGCGACATACAAGGGGTGGACATTAATCATGGACGATGCCATCGACATAACGAAGGTAAGTATGCTTGTTTACTCGAGCTTATTTCACGTTGTTAATTTCGTATCAGTGTACGTAAGACTTTTAATTTCGATAAACAAATATCACAATCTCTGATAAATATGATTATTTCGTCAATTACTGACTTGAAAATAAAATCATACTTATTGCATTCTTTATTTTTTTGTGAAAAATACGTTAAAACATTAAACACAGTTTCTTACCTATCCGGGGGACATCTACTTTTATTTATGTCTAAATACTGGAACTGATCATTTAAAAGGTTAGGTCCATACCTTTCCAAAATTCATATAAATATTCCTTTTGGTATCTTATGACAAATTCCTTGTAAGGTTATTTCACCAATTTTGTGATTCAGCAAACCCGGGTTTAAAAAAAACACTTCCGGATCATATCTGTTTGACGATCACTATGAAATTCTATATTTTGATTGCAGTTGGACGAGCAGCCACTACGAGAAAAAAACATCTTGTATTACCTGTATTTTGTCTTCTTCATTATTTTTGGGTCCTTCTTCACACTAAACTTGTTCATAGGTGTTATTATCGACAACTTTAATCAGCAAAAGAAAAAGGTAAGGATGATGTGAATTGAAGCAAGAAAGGGAATTGAATTAAAAAAAAAAGATATACTACTGATGTCGATAAAAATTTTTTACATGATTTTTGTTTCAAAACCATGTTAATCTACCATTTTTACCATACGTTTTAATTTTTAAGCTTACCGCTGGTGATATTCTGTTTTTGCGTTTTTTCAACTATCCTTTTATTGGTTTGCTGAGGTAGGTAATCAAAACGTAAGCAAGGGAAGTAACTCTTCAATTGTTTTCATCTCAAATCATCATGTATCACCTTCTCGCTGTTCATAGGCAGGAGGTTCGTTAGAACTCTTCATGACTGAGGATCAGAAGAAATACTACAAAGCAATGAAGAGGATGGCTTCGAAAGCACCCCAGAAATCAATTCCTAGACCAGAAGTCAGTTAAAAGCAAGCATATAATATAATATAAACAAAATCTCTGACTACTTCGTGCCCTGTCAATCAAGTGTCCCTGTGTCTCAAACCTGGCGTTGATTCGTCGGTCTTAGTCTCTGTGGGCGTTGTCACCTGTGTCCTCTCTACTGCGACATGCTTGCTTTGCTGGCTTCATGCATGTGTACTTGTCTTTTCCTTACTTGATCAATGCGTACATATCCTTCTGCAGGCTGGTGGGTCGCTAGAGATGTTTATGACAGAGGACCAGAAAAAGTATTACGCGGCTATGAAGAGGATGTCGTCAAAAGCTCCCCAGAAATCGATACCAAAACCATCTGTTAGTTTTTAAATAAATCCTCATTTCCATCTGAATAGATGCACCTTTTTAATCTATTTTCCACATAAAAACTTTTTAGTGGTAAACTTTGTATCACAAAATCACGAATTTCTCAATTTTCTAAAACTTGTCAACACTTAGACATATAGATGTGCATCTTATCAGAATTCAGAGGACTTTTTTTGATCTATTTTTACTAAAGCACAGCACTGAATTCAATAGAATGCCGATATGCTGATATGAATTTTTACCCCGTTTCACCGTGTTGAATTTTTTTTACATCTTTCGTTGTGAATTTATTTACTTAATAACAAATTGATATGAATGTTGATTTCCTTGTAATATTGTTATCAATTAAGTTTATGATATGTATGAAGATAATTTGTCACGTGACATTAAATCAGTAGTACGCATGTTTCCCATTATTTACATTTATTGACATGCGCGCGTGGGAGATTGCTTTTAAATTGATTTATTTTAATAATCTGATTCATTTTATTTTCAGATTTTATTGAAAAGTTAAACCAAAATTGATTACACTATTGAAATTTATCTTGTAAAATTTTTCTCCTAAAATGCATAGTTTCACTCCAAATTTTCTGAAGACCAAAGTTCTCCGATTTTACAGTTTTAGGACAGGAAAACGGCGAGTGAGAAGGCCGTTCGATATTGTTAATATTAATTTATTAACAAATCGAACCATGTTTGTGTATGGTTTTCTCATTTCATGTTCACAGTCTCTCTTTCAAAAAGATGTTCTCATGTGTTTTGTAATGCGCTATTCATATGCAGGACATAAATATACATATGTGTTTCAAAAAATGACAAATACTTGAAACAATTCCCACCATACCTGCATTTGCCCCAACTATACCTAATGGATGTTATCCTCTCCCTACCGTTTGATATATATATATAACCTCCTGTATAACCGGATACACTTTTTTTCTGTGTCGGTTTTCTGGTTTTTTTTAAGACATGAAAACCGTTTTCTTCAAATTTTTCCTTAAACATTTTAAAAAGTCACCGATATGAAATTTTGTGAAATGTCCATCTATTTAATTATCCATGTTTAATTCAGTGAATATTTGATTAATGATACGACACAGAAAACAAGTTTTCTAATATCTCAGTTGTAACAGTATAAGTATCTATGGTGTCATGTTAAAAGCACTTTTTTCTCCCGCATGTTTGCAAGTTCGCATGCCTCACACTAATACATATTTGTTGCATGTATTCGACAAGTTCTTCCATAGCACCTTTTGCACTAGCTTGAACTTTATCAAATCATTATGTAATTTAAATGACCTACACATTATGACATATTAAATAACATCAGAAACTGACTCGGACGAAAAATAAAACCAAGATTAACCGTGACTTACGTTATCTTTGTATGTTTTTCACAAATGGGTTTAACAGGTATCAATTAAATATGATTCCACCAAAGAAAATAGACGGTAATTTTAATGACACATTCGACCGCAGATAAACACAATGAACAAGATGTTACATTCTGTTACTTTAGGCCTGCAACAGAAAAATTGTTTGACATTCATTAGCTTATAAACTGCAGCTGTACGATACATGTGAACGAAATGCATTCTTGTTACGGTCTGTTAAAAATACAAACAAAACAAATAAAAAAACCCCCAAGAAAACCGACGGTCTGATACTTGTAGAAATTATTGCCTCTCTGAGACAATTACTAGCAATGATAAAATGATTATCTCAAACGATCCAACTGTCTACATCGACATGCAGCCTGTAGTTCTTTATAGACGTAAGATAGAGTATCAAACACACATAAATATACAGAGTAAAAAAGGAGAAATTTTTCAGCTCAGGACATTGACCTAGTTATCAAAGTTCAGTCCCTGAGTTATCAGCAATTTAGGCCCTTAGAATCAATGACGAGTCCTAGAAGGACGAAACATTGTATGATGTAGCATCACTGACGAGTCCTGGAAGGACGAAATAGCTGTATGATGCAGCATCACTGACCGGTCCTAGAAGGACGAAACAGCTGTATGATGTAGCATCACAAAAGAGTCCTAGAAGGACGAAATAGCTGTATGATGTAGCATCACTGACGAGTCCTAGAAAGACGAAATAGCTGTATGATGTAGCATCACAAAAGAGTCCTAGAAGGACGAAATAGCTGTATGATGTAGCATCACTGACGAGTCCTAGAAAGACGAAATAGCTGTATGATGTAGCATCACAAAAGAGTCCTAGAAGGACGAAACAGTTGTACGATGTGTCATCACTGACGAGTCCTAGAAGGACAAAATAGTTGTATGATGTAGCATCACTAAAGAGTCCTAGAAGGACGAAACACTAAAGAGTCCTAGAAGGATGAAACAGTTGTATGATGTAGAGTGGTTCAGTATTTGACATTACTGTCTCAAAGTCTAGATGTGTATTAAAAGGTGCTATTTAATCATGTGTGTTTTGTACAATTTTCGTATGTTTCACTGGTACTAAACAGTAAGACTGATTGTAGCATGTTAACAGCACTTTTCTATTCCTTACTCAAACTACTGATAACAGTTAACTGTGTGTCTAACATGAATTTCAGAATTTTGAAATCTTTTCTCGCATCCTCTGAATTGAAGTTAGTCTTACATGTGCTCTTTTCCTTACATTTCTTACTTACTTTCATCTTTGCTATGTAATGATATTTGATAATTCAAATTAAAGATAAAATTTTATATCATATCAACGATGTTACGACATATGATTTTGGATTTATGTACAAGTATATATATATTTATGTATGTGTGTCAACACGCTGAAACTGATTAAAGTGAATGAGGTTTCATGCTGTTTAATTTTATCATGATTTATAAATTATTATTTAAGAATATATAATTTTGAATGTATATTTAAATGTATAATGCTTTGTTGGTGCCTCGTTCTTATCTATATATCTTACTGCATTGTACATTTTTGTTCTGTTCACAGATTAAGATCGCAGCCCTGATCTTCGACATTACATCGAATCAAATGTTTGATATTGGTATCATGCTTATCATCATGCTGAATATGGTAACCATGGCAATGGAACACTACAAACAGACGAAACTTTTCACTGACGTGTTGTATTTCATTAATCTTTCTTTCATCATAATTTTCACGATTGAATGCTTGCTCAAAATAATAGGACTGAGACAATATTACTTCAAAATTCCATGGAATATATTCGACTTCGTTGTGGTAGTTTTGTCTGTATTAGGTAAGTAATTTATTAGAAGGTCAGTTCAAAACATGACTTATTCTTTCAAAGAGTTAATACTACACGTATATTTAGATTTGAAATTTTGATTGTATTTACAATATACAAGCAAATACGTGTGGAATAAACTATTTAACATAGATTTTCATTCAAATTTTAATATTAATACCTTTTTATTAACGTTAATACTTTGGTAATATTTTCAAATAAATTTCTCACGTAATAATTTATATCATTCAGTTTGTGTCAATTATATACATATCATATTAGTGTACCAATTCACCCAAGAGGTTTTCATCAAAACTTTAACTGATTTTCGTATGCTAAACCGTTGACATATTCGTAATCGTTATATACTCGCGAGGTTGTTAGTTTCGATCGAATATGTTCACGGAAAGATGATATCTTATGCAAGTTGGATTACATCACTTTTTTTTAAAAACATTTGATAAACTCGAGTTGTCTCCCCTACACTGTTTTTGCTACTACAGTATTTCTGATTTTTTGATATTTTTTGTCATTAATTCCTATCGTGGCATTTGACAAGAAATATGGCATTGTAAAAACCCAAAATAATTTCTACTTTTCAGGTATTATGCTTTCTGATGCAATGGAGGATTTTTTGGTGTCGCCAACTTTGTTGCGAGTCGTGAGAGTCTTCCGTGTTGGTCGTGTATTACGATTGGTGAAATCGGCCAAAGGAATTAGGACATTACTTTTCTCGTTAGCCGTATCCCTGCCAGCTCTTTTTAACATTGGCTTGTTATTATTCTTAGTTATGTTTATCTATGCCACTTTTGGAATGAACTTCTTCATGCATGTAAAACACACTGGCGGGTTGGACGATTGCTTCAACTTTGAGACCTTCGGTAGAAGTATTATATTGCTATTTCAAATGTGTACTTCTGCAGGCTGGGATTCAGCTCTTGCCGGACTTTCAAATGAGGAAGATTGTGAAGAGGAAGAAGATAACTGCGGAACATACGAGATGGCAGTGTTCTACCTTGTCACTTATCTTGTTATCAGCTTTCTAGTTGTAGTGAACATGTATATAGCCGTTATTCTGGAGAACTTCAGCCAAGCCACAGAGGATGTCCAACAAGGATTGACTCCAGACGATTTTGATATGTATTACGAAAAGTGGGAAAAGTTCGATCCGGATGCAACACAATTTATAGCTTTAGAAAAGTTATCAGATTTTGTAGATTATCTAGAGGAACCTTTAAGACTTCCAAAACCAAATCATTTCCTCCTAGTGAAGCTAGACATAGCCATTTGTGAGGGCGACATGTGTTTCTGTAGAGACATCTTGGATGCTCTGACAAAGAACTTCCTTGGGACGTCCGACACTGGGGATATTCCAACGGACGCGGGTGGTCCTAAAGAAAATGTGGAGTACAAACCGATAAGTTCAACTCTTATGAGACAGAAAGAACATTATGCAGCACGGTTGATTCAGAAAGCTTATCGGGCATATAGACGAAGGCGAGGAGAGCTTGGTGCACCGCCTATGTCATATGATGAAGCCATGGCCGACACAACACCTCAGGGAAAACCGGAAATTGAAAAGGAGGGAGATGAAAACGATGACCAAATTGAAAAAAAGGAAGGAACCGAAGCGATTACTCCCTCTGAACAAAAAACGGTCGAACTAGGACCGGATAGTGACGTGGTGGCGTGATATTTCCGGGTATCACTTTCTGTAATGAACATAAGGAATGACGTAGATACGTGGCTTATAAGCCTGTGAAGCAGGAACGCTGGCTTCGTACGTCAGCTTCATATGATCCATATAGAATGAAGCGTCTTCGTCTAGTTTTGAAATGAATTTGATCTTAAAGTGAGATACTCAATAATGGGTCAGTATGTCTTTCCATTTACAAGGTTTTAGGATGCAATCTCTTGTACGTACATATGACATGTATCGTTATGTATCAATGTTTATCTCCCCACTCAATTTGTGAGAAAATTTAAACGTGAATTGATTGTTGTTACATACATTTCTCCTCTGCTTGTGCCTACCTAATCCTGATGAACATATATGTAATGAATTACAACTTTTACGAGTCAGTCTAAAACATCAAAGTGTAAAGGTTTTTTTAATATGCAGATCGTGCACAGAAAAACAGCAAAATCGCTGTAATTATTCAATATTCAATTAAATATATATCAGATAAAATATTGACGACACTTCAGTATGTTAAACTAATAAATCATTGGTACTTTTTTTTCTTGAAAAATCAATAATATCCTAAACCTAGTGACATTGAACCCTGGAAGAGTTGTCCGCCCTTTTTTTTTTTAAAAAAAAAAAAAAAAAACTTGCTACATTATTAAACTATATCAACATCGATATGAAAAAATAACGCCAACTAAGACAGCAGAAATATAATAGGATAACATTCGTCCGCCTGCGATCAACAAAGGAAATAGTCGTTTCCTTTAAAAATCGTTTCAGCATATTAAAAATAAATGTTGAAATTTGCTTTCTATTTCAAAATCATCATCATAGCTACTACATATACGGCGACATTAAAAAGGCTTTACACCATAATCACAAGTGAAGGAATTTTTTTATCAATGTCACGTGTTATAGAATATAGGCCTCTTTTGCTTACGTAATGATTCGTGATAGCTGTCGTAGCACGTGTAAAAAATGTTTTTTTTTCTGGACGGGAGCAGCTATATATCTATTTGAATATGTTTTTCTTACGTCAGAGTTTCGTTAAGAAATTGATCTCAGAAGTATAGATATAAACTTGTTGATATTGTATTTACACATTTAAAAAAGGTTTTGATGGCGCTTGTTTTGGAAAGAAATTGTTGTTAAATTTGAAACGTTGTTTCATCTCAGTAATAAGATAAATTATTGAAAAGAAAAATGTTTAGAAAGGAAGAAAATCTAGAAAAACAAAGGCCTGCTAAATTTAGAACTGCGCGGTAATAACTGTATTTTGCTCATAAAATTATTGATATGAAAATTTTCGTATATCTGTATATAGTAATTATGAAACGTTCAAGTATGATACAGTATAAAGGGTGTCGAACCCGAGATCAATAATTGGTGTTGATATACGGGTTAGTTAACTGTTCAGACGTTTTCTCCAAACAAATTCTCTTCATACATACCCCTACCCCCCATTTTGTCCGTCATCGTGTTGTGGACAGCTTTCGAAGCTTGAAGGTTGTTCACACTTTCGTTTATCATTTCACACACTATATCTCTCTGATGTTGAATAAGCATTTTATTGAATCTAGTATGTGTATATCCTTACGCAATTTTATACCCTCTAATATGATGCTTTTATTCTATAGCGAAAACCAGAAATTTCCATCTAGTCTCGCTTTTATTTGAATTTTCGTCGCTTCTGTTTAAGGAGTGTGCAGTTGAATATATAAGACGTATACAAAGTAGGCAATTTAACCACCTAGGCCAGTCTTTATCTTTTGAAGTATTTAAACCAAAGAGATATCAGTAAATCTAATAGAACTGAATTAAACCCCATGTACAGCGACATTGGGACCAGCTTATCAACTCCATGACTTTGGCGCTCCGCCGGTTTTTGCTTAACACTTAACCTTAATGGACGATTTCTGGTATAGGAAAAACCCATATTGACTTTTGCCATAAGTTATCATAAAGGGAAACCCCTATTTTGTCAAAATACGACAATAAGTTATCTTATTAACGTTAGGACGTGTTTTAGTGGATTCTATCAATGTTTACATGTTTTTAAATTGACGACTTATTAACATGCATAGCGGTTGTGTAATCGTGCCCATGGCTACCGACCGTGTCGGGAGGAAACAAGTTTACATGTGTATTTGACTTAAGCCAATTGTTATGTCTCGTATATTATAATATTGTAAAACAATACCATTCCATGATTTTATATAAAGATAATAGCAGTATTTTGAACTTTTTAACATCCGGAAATAAGTTGACTGTCATTTCAAATTCCAGATGTGTGATCTTGGGACAAAAAGTCTTCTTCTCCAGATTAAGTTAAACAAAATAATGATAAACTATTTATAATTTATCAGGATTATAATGACCAGATTTCACAGGATTCACAAGTGTATATGAGAAACCAATATTTCTTTGCACAAAAACCATCACAAACACAGTTTGCTGTGAAAACAAATATAATCCATGAAAGATAAGAATTGATACCACAAATGAAAGTACATAATGTCATCGTTGTGATGGGAATTCTTAAATTGTGTCGTAAATCAGCGGATACTATAGTTACAATTGAACGAGTACCCGATTATTAGTTAGAAATCATAATACTATGCAAAATACTTATTCGTGTTTACTGTTTGTGATAGGTATTATATAATGTCCTTGTATGATTTGTCAAATTGTACTTGTTTACTGTTGAACCGTTCTGAAATAACGTTTATGTCCCTCATACCTAAAATATGTTCAAAGGTGGCGGGGTGGATTCAGGCGGTTGTTTTTACAGAGTTCATAAAAAAGACAGAAAACCCGGGAACATTCTCTACAGTAATCCGAAAAAGAAATCTGTTGTGACTACTAAGAACATGGGTTTGCTCAGGATTTCAGAAGGAGATATTGGACATTTTCTTAATTGGTTCAGAATTGATTTGAAATGTTTAAATCATGACCTTGCGGCATTGTAACTATTTTTTCACCTATTATGTATTATATATAAACGCATATATATATATATAAATATATAGACTAGTTACTCCAGTATCATACCATTGAACTTGTAGCTAAAGAGGAAACGTTATGTTCATATTTCCGAGCCATTGTAAATGAATGTATGCATCTTCCATGATCTGTAGTCGGATGTCCTTATAGCTTCAAGTTAAAAGTGACACTTATCATGCATCTCTTAGCCGTAGATTGTCAGTCATAATTTCGGCCTATAGTGGATAATTAGTCTTCTTAAACATGTCCTCTAATACTGTACTGGTAAACGATACACAAATACCCGAGGTAAATACGGTACAAGCTAGCACCATCATTTGAAATAATATTGAGTTCTACACTGAAGTTAGAATGAACCTTACAGTTGAAGGTTAACTTTCCTAACAATAGGGTATTATCATAACATCAAAATATTTTCTTAAATTATCTTAAATGTTCCGAAAAATATCCTTTAAATACAAACTTTCGGACAAGGAATGATATCCGAGATCAAATATATATTTATAGATTTGATTTCCTCGAAAATCTTTGGCAAAGCCAGGACAAGAGAGAGAAACTGATCCACTATCTAATGCCTTGCAGTGATTCTTTCCATTTCTGTCATACTTCGCATTTTTGTAAGCGTTGACCGAGACTGTTAACGCCAGAGAACTGGTCTTGCAGAATCAATTTGATGCGTCATTGAGGAATAGATATTTGTGGGTTAAGGCACTCATAGATAAAACTGATCCATATTAGTTAGTCTACTAAACCGTTTCCTTTTCTGTATCATTGTTAAAATATTTACGTCATAGTTTATTCGACTGTATCCGTCATTGTCCGGCAGTTTCCGTCATTATTCGGCAACTTTCGTCCTTGCTAGATATTGGTAAATTGATTGTGATTATATATCACATTACTGAACGTGAAAGTCTTTGTAGTTAGTTTGCGTTAACAGCCAGATCCACCCTGGCCGATTGTGTATCATACAGTTGTGTTTTACTCTTTCTTCATCTATGTAAATGATCTTTTCATGTCACATGTACTACGTGTCAACTTAGGTTTACCTGATGGTGTAACATCAATGTGCGACATATACTTAACAGTTCTTGCTAATGAAACGTTGAAAATGTTTTGTCAAACATGAAACCATCGTAACATAAAAAATGTTTATTTAAAAAAAATGACGAATCGAAAGATAATTTAGTGATTTTTAAAGAATAATTTTTGTTTCGATACGTTTGATTAGAAGAACAATGGCCAATATTACTTATATTACTTTGGAAGAGACAAAGATGAAAGGGAAGGCTAATCTAGATACTCCAGCCCTAAAACGTTTAAAATCGCAAACATATTGAAGATGTTAATTATATAGGGTTATCCCCCTTTTCTTTCAATCACGGTATTTTTGGATTCACCATCACAATGTTGAGTTAGCAAGTTCTTTTTTCTACTTTGATCTGTAATCTTGTTAAAGCTAACTGATTACTTATGAAGGGCATTTTACTTTCATATGTTATTTTGATAAAATGGTTTTTATACTGACAATATGTCGCTTTCATGTCATTAAATGTAACGGTATTCTCGAGACGATTTATACATATAAGTGAAATTTTGGTATATGTATTTGCGTGTAAACTATCCTGCCTACCGCTCATTTTTCTTCGGATATATACCCTATACACGTGTTTCCGCTAATATATTGAATGGCGGTGGTTACTGTCTGTAAGGTTCTCGCACTGTCGTGTTTTTGTGATATTTTATGAGAGCGACACCAACAAAGTATTCAAGGTGACTGTCCGCCATTCTTGCCCATCAGAGTTATCTACCTTTACTCACGTTTTAGAAAGATCCGACAGAAGTGACGTAATAGAAAACTCTGGGGAGTTGGAATGTGGGCTTGAAACCATATGGAATTTTTCATGTTTTCTTTAGTTCATATTACTTACCTAACAACATTTCCCAGTGTTTTTTTGTCATGAATAAAGTGTGTAAGTGAATAATGTTCGGTTTTTTTGGATGATGTCTAACACCAACGATTTGCCTCCAGGTGTGTAATTTTCTCTTCAATAGCTCAATTTTATCAACATGATAATACAGAAGCTTTGTTTAGACGAGAATGTGTGTTACCTGATGACGTGTATGTGACCGCTTGGCTCGAAACACTGGTACATAAACGGTTCGCCGTCAATGTACACCCATATTTATGCACAAGAATGCATGTTATGAAGGACACACAAAACTCTAATGCCATCTTTGCTTCGTTCATTAACACCTTGATTCTTTATGTAAATAAAAATATACACAATTTGATGAATTTATGTTATCTTTTAAAAAACAAATTCAAATTTATTATTTTCAAAGCTTTAAACTTCTGTCTCTTGTAGTATTTATTGTTCATAAAAAACTCTGGTGTGATTAGGATTTGTTTCCAGACATGATAAAATGGTGTTACATTTATATTTTGACTATATCAATATGCCGACTTTCCTGATGAATTTTAAAACAGGAAGTCAACTTTTGATTAGATCTAGATATTATCATTACTAACTTAAAGAGTATGACGATATATATTTAATTATGTAAAGTCATCTCTGAAGACACCTAGCCAAGAACTGGGTTTTCTGTAGTTTTGAAGAATGATAATTGTCGACTATTGACTTACTGGTCCTATTCTAACGTATCAGTTCGGTTACATAACATTGTAAAACATTGAAGATCATTTTGCATTTGTTGTCCAACTATTGTTTGGTGAAGGAGACAGATAAGAGAAATAAACATTTGTAACTAACAACGAAGATAGGGTCAAAATCGACACTGATCACCAAGTTCAAGTTTACAATGAGATATTCAACCCAACTTAAATATTTGTCCAAATTTAACTGCATTGTTAACCGTCACTAACCTTTAAACTATGAAAAGATGAAATACTATTAGGCAGTAATAAATTATAAAATTCAAATATAAGAATTATGATGACAGTTCGACAAATGTTTATTGATACTGCAGACAGATTGATAAGAATTTTATCTAAAATAACAGAACAATGGTTAACTTACAATTGTTACCATTTGTTACCATTGTAACCAATTGTTACCAAGTGTTACCATTTGTTACCATTGTAACCAATTGGTAC